CCATCTGCTCCGGAGTGCGAGTAGCGGGATTCTGTGCTCCTCCCCCAGCCTGAGAGACGGCTGATGCTACAGGAAGTAAGCCTGCTTGGGCGATACTCTCCATAAGGCCCACTAGATGGACTAGAGCATCCTGAAGTACTGGGGTAGCAATGAACCCCTCTGACCTGAGCTGGCCCTGCTGGAAAGGTCTGGGCTGGAGCCTCCTCCTCGAACTCTACCTGAGGCTCCGCCGTTGGTGCTACTGCTCTGGGCTGAGCCTTGCCTCAGCCCCTAGCACGGCCTCGTCCTCGTCCTCTGCCCCTCGTAGGAGCTGCCACTGGGGCTCGGGCTGCTGATCAGCGGATGAAGAAGCACGTGTTCTCTCCATCTGCGAAAGAACAGAGTAGAAGTCCAATTAGCATTGAGAAGTCAAATCGTACGACAGAGAAGAATATATGTGAAGTTATTCCTAAACTCTGTAGCCTCTAGGGGATAAGCACAGACGTCTCCGTACCGATCCCTCAGACTCTACCTAGCTTGTTCGTGAATTGTGAGACCTAGGAAACCTAGTGCTCTAATACCAACTTGTCACGACCCGGATTTCCCACCCTCGGGAGTCGTGATGGCGCCTACTCTTGAAAGCTAGGCAAGCCAACCATTACGGTTCTACTCAATAACAATCAACCCAAACAATTATAAACAGAAACTAAAGTTAAACAAATGATAAGTGCGGAAGAGCTAAAATAAATCCAAATACTCCAATATATGTCTACCCACGAATCTGGTGTCACAAATTTACGAACGACTAAGATTTTTACTACAAATACAAGTCTGGAAAGAAAAGTACAACTATTCTCGGAATGAAAAGAGACAGCAGAAAGATAAATAGGGAAGGGGGACTTTAGGCTCTGCGGATACCAGCAGATCTACCTTGGCCTCCCTGGACTGAAGGCAGCTACCTCAGCTACTCACTGGATCCAGTACCGAAATCTGCACAAAAGAGTGCAGAGTGTAGTATCAGTACAACCGACCCCATGTATTGAGTAAGTGTCGAGCCTAACCTTGGCGAAGTAGTGATGAGGCTAGGACACGACAATCATATATACTTGTGCAGATAATTTATATACAAGCAGAAACATGATAACAGAAATCAACAGAATAAGGTGGAAGGGGACATGCTGCGGGGAATATCAGATTCTAACAGTAAACCGATAAGGAAGCATCAATAAGGAAGCATAATGAACATCATAAATAAATCAGCAAGAATAATGAAACGGTAACACGTGCACGGCATCACCCTTCGTGCTTTTACTCTCGTCCTCGCCATATGAATCAACAAAATCGGCACGGCTTCACCCTTCGTGGATTATCTCACATAATCATGGCACGGCATCACCCTTCGTGAATTAGTCCTGACAATATCGGTACGGCATCACCCTTCGTGCATTAACTCTCAAATCATGGCACGGAATCACCCTTCGTGCATTAACACTCATAATATCGGCACGACATCACCCTTCGTGCTTTACATTCTCTCACAATATCATGCACGGCATCACCATTCGTGCTTTACACTCTTCCTCACCCAAACAACAGAAAACAATATGTCCCGGCAAGGGAATCAACAATATCAACAATAATATCCTGGCAAGGGAATAAACAATATCAACAATAATATCCCGGCAAGGGAATCAACAATATCAACAAACGTCCCGGCAAGGGATTCAGCTATAACCAATCTCGTTTCAACAATCTCTTTACAAAATGAAACTTCAATTTGAGTTAATACTCAACAATAGTCAATTACCAAGAAACTTTCATAAGCTTTGTTCAACCTTAATAATCCTCAATTTGAGCATGATCGATACATAATAGAGTCACAACAATCATAGTATAAGACTCACGGGTATGCTTGACACCAACGTATAGATACTCGTCACCACACCTATACGTCATACTCGATACAAACACATAGCAAATAGACCACAACTCCTATTACCTCGAGCTAAGGTTAAGCCAAACACTTACCTCGATTCCACGGACAAATTAAGCCTCTACTTCCGCTTTACCTCTCGGTTTCACTTCCAATTCGCTTGTATCTAGTCACAAATTACTTAACGATATCAATAAATGCTAAATAAACCACTTCTAATGCATGAAAATAGTTTTCCCATTGTTTTCCCAAAAAAGTCAAAAATCGACCCCGAACCCACTTGGTCAAAACCCGAATTTCGAACCAAAACCCGATCACCCATTCACTCACGAACTCAAATATGAAATTAGTTTTGAAATCGGGCCTCAAATCAAGGTCCAAATCCCCAAAATTTAAAAATCCTAACTTCTACCCAAAAATACCCAATTTCCCATGAAAAACTAGATTTTGAAGTGAAATCATGTAAAAGATGTTATAGATTGAAGAAAATAAGTTAGATGTTGTTTACCTATGATTTGGGAAAAAATATCTCTTTGGAAAATCGCCTATGTGATGTTTAGGTTTTGAAAAGTTGTAAAATTGAAGAAGAATTCCGTCTGAAATCCCACTTACAGGTCTCAGATGTCGCAATTACGACCAGGGATTCGCAATTGCGAACCCTTTAGGATCCTACTATCTTCGCAATTGCGAAGAATATGTCGCATTTGCGACCTCTGACGCTTTCGCGTTTGCGACCAAATTGTCGCATTTGCGAGAATGGCCTGCCCAGGCTTGGTTCGCATTTACGATATTGTGGTCGCATTTCCCAAGCCTGACCACTTCGCAATTGTGAAACCTGATCTCGCAATTGCGAGATCAGAGGCTTGGGCAAAAATACCAGACACCAGCTGCAATTTTTCCTAAGTCCAATTCACTCTGTGGCCTATCCAAAACTCACCCGAGCTCTCGGGGCTCCAAATCAAACATGCACGCAAGTCTAAAAACATCGTACGGACTTACTCGTGCTATCAAATCATCAAAATAACATCAACAACTACGAATTTAACCTCAAATTCATGAAATCACCCAAGAACATTGAAATTTCCATTTTCTCAACTATAGGTCCGATTTATACCAAACCAATTTTGATTCTTACCAAACTTCACAGATTCGATTTATTTATTATTTTAAACTTGTGTCGGGCTCCGAAACCAAGATACGTGCCCGATACCATCAAGAAAATGCATCATTTCATTTCAAAAAGCCTTTATATTTTCCAGCAAATAATTTTCTTTAAAAATTCTTTTCTCAGGCTTGGGACCTCGGAATTTGATTCCGGGCATACGCCCAAGTCCCATATTTTACTACAGACCCTACGGGACCGTCGGCTCACGGGTCCGGGTCCGTTTATCAAGAATGTTGACCAATGTCAACTTTAACCAATTTTAAAGGCCAATTTCATTATTTTTCTAAAATTTCACATAAAAGCTTCCCGGAAACGCGCCCGGACTGCACACGCAAATCGAGATGAGACAAAAAGAGATTTTCAAGGCCTCGAAACACAATTTTAACTTCTAATATAAGATATGAGCTTTAGGGTCATCACACTTTCCAAACAGGCTCTTAGTTCAAATACCAGTAAGAATTTGTTTCTCGTCCACTATTGTGCTGGTTTGGTGTAAGTCCTTTTCTTGGTGGTGTATTCTTAGTATTTCAGAGCTAGCAACAATTTAGTTTTAAATATTATCAAAGTTAAAATAATTTACATATAAGTAAATGTCTGTAATTATCTTGATTATGTAATCAACAACAACAACAAACTCGATATAATTTTACAAACAAGTAGGGTTTGGGTAGTATCATGAGTACGCAGCCTTTTACTCCTATAGAGATGTTATTTCTGATAGACCCTCAGCTCCAAGCATGCATGCAAAAAGGTGGATCTAGGATTTTAGTTTTATGGGTTCAACATTTAAACTTATGCAATAGAATAAAGTTGTGGATTTAATTATAGGTGAAACTTAGTTTTATATATATATATATGTGTGTGTGTTACTTAATTAATGATCGAAAGAAAATGTAAGAAAATTGTAAGTACATATAATAAAAATTATTTAATGGGTCAACTAAGGCAAATATTAGGACGAGTCCTAAATTAGCTTCAAAAGATAACTAACTCATGGTATACTAATGAAATATCAATTTAGCTATTAAACTAAGTTCTAAGTAAATCTAAAAGAATTAACCGGTAATACACTAAGTAAAATTGGTTTAACCTTTTAAATTAACATTCAAGTCAATTATAAAATGATGAACATATAGATAGGTAAATATAATTCATAATATGAAGTATTATATAAGTGACCACTTTAATTCATAATTAGATGAATCTTTTTTGTTTAAGCTATTAAATTAATACAATTAACAATAAACTAATTAGCTGATAATATACTAAAGAAATATTAATTTTTGCTATAAGTAAGACCTAAGTTAATTCAAAATAATAACCCATCATACACTAATAACAAATAGTTTAATATGATAAATTAACACCTAAGTCAATCTTAAAGTGATGAAAGATATAGACAAGTAATTGTAATTCATAACTGATGTATCATTATAATTCATAATTACATGAAATATATATGTAGGTAATTATAATTCATAATTAGATCCATTATTATAATTCATAATTAGATAAAACATATAAGTAAAAAAAATTCAAAAAAAATGAAAAAATTCGTATGTCCGAAGGGGTCTAAGTTTTACTTTTTCAAAGGTCAGAGTTGATAGCGGTGCAACAGTTTGAGGAACATTCTACATAGCTACTGCGAAACTAAGATATTTCCATGCCTTCCAAAAAAAAACTCCTGAAACTTCTAGAATATTCAATTCAGTTTCTCTCTCAAACAAATAAATAGCAGAAAACCTCCCCGCTTCTCTCATCGTAAAGCACTACTATTCTCAGAAACCTAAGCCGGACCCATCCGTATTCTCCTTAAGGATTCAGAAGGTATTCAGAGGCTTTTTAGTGAGAAAAAACGTGAAGAAAATCATATCATTACGAAAAGAGGTGGAAGACATTGAGCGTAAGATTTTGTGCGGCGAAATGGCGGAGTTGATTCGGAGAGACGAAAGGGAGAGGTTGCGGGTGAATGAGACGCTGATGTCACTGCTTTTGAAATTGGATTCCGTTTGTGGAGTTGATTCCGGTGTTAGGGACTGCAGAAAGGCTGTGATTAAAAAGGTAATCTCTTTGCAAGAGAAAATTGACTTGATTGTTTCAGCATGTAATCAAATTGCAGACAAAGATGATTCCGATGAAGTCCCTAAATTGGTCAATCAGACCGAATACATCCCCCATTCCACAGGAAATCAGGACGAAAATGAAAATTCGACATATCAGAGTGAAGTTTCTGATCTATTGGAGCAGAGTGTGGAAGCAGAAAATCAAGCAGCATTGAATTGTATGAAGAAAGACGAGAAAACACAAGCAGAGGGCGAATGCGATGCAGCGCCATCAATTGAGATGTCTGATGAGTTGCCGGAGGTAAGTGTGGAGAGAGGCGAAGTAGGAGATGTGATTGAAAGAATTGATGAGGAGGAGAATGAAGTAGGGTTACATGGGGAAGATGAGAGTAGAAAAAACAGAGAGTTGATGGAGAAAATGGTGGAAAATAATGAGAAGATGATGAAAATGATGAATGAGATGTGCCAGAGAAACGAAATGCAAACGCTGATGCTGAATTCGCTGGCGCAGAGGGTGGCGCAATTAGAGAAAGCTTTCCTATGTGATAGGTTGAAGCCAAAGCCAAAGAAAAAGAGGCATGGTGCTTAAAAACTGCTCCAATCTTGTTTGAGAGTGTTTACATTCATTTAATTGATTTTGTCTTTTTTTGTCTTCTCTGACCCATTCATATTTTAGTTATTTTAGGACGTGTACTTGCATAAAACACAGATATTGGAATGTAAAGCTTATTACAGTAGAGTTTCATTATGCTGGACTATCGCCTTGTGATTCTTTGGTTTAGTTACTCGAACTAAAATGGTAATTTCCCGTAGCACTAAAACGTCATTATCGTATGTGTCATTCTTATTCGGCTTATCCTCTTATGAGGTTAGCTACATCTCTCTTTATATACAGGGAGGACTTGCACCTCTCTTTGGACAAAAAATCACATTTATTTATTTTCTTAGATTTTTGGATTCTTTTAGTGGAATATTTGTTTTGCTTTAACAAGCCTAAAAGTTATGTCTCTTCATATCTATAATGAAAGAAAGAGTTAATTTAATAGCTGTTACCATTAACAAATGCAATTGTGCACTAACTATTATTTTAATAAAGATTACACACCACGTCTGATCGAAAAATAGAGGCTTCCAACCATGACTCTCTCTCTTTACAAAGGGTAAGTGTGTCAATATCATATGCACCCATAGCTACTTGGGTAGAGACCGTTGAACATCATTTGGACAGGCCGAGGCTATGGCCTCTGTTCGGCTCAAAAGTTAACAATATACTTTGTAAGCTAAAAAACAATTAAAAGTAAAAAAAGGGTAAATCGTAATCAAATATAATAATCCTAGAGATGCAAAGATGATAATATTGTTGTAGATCTAGTATTGCAAAGAGACAGTATGAACTCAATAAGATACGTTCGTTTGAAGTAGAGATAGAGAGAGAAAGTCAGAAAAATGAGAGAGTTGTATTAGATCAGATGCCTCCTTTTACAATGTGAAGGTCTCCTTTATATAATAGGAGACCTTCCTCGAAAGAATCAAAAAGTTACAAAGATAAGTAACGTCTCCCTAGTGAAGACACTGAGTCCTAAACGATGTCGCTTTTGCCCCCACGGCCGAGTTGTACCCGCTACATTGGTAGGCGTACACTCATTGGGCGTACCCACTGGCGTAGAGATGCTGAGGGTCAAATTTGACCCTATACAGTTAGTCCCTCCGCTCGTTGGAGACGCATTCGGTGGGCGTCTTCGATGGACGGAAACGTGAACCTCGGCTTAGGAGAATTTGACCTCGACCTAGGGCGGCAATACGAATGAAGTGAAATATATGACGTTGTTGAGCCACTGACGCGCGGCTTCCTTTTTTGGAATGACGTCATCGCCTGTATGCATCATTATTATATTTGCCCCCGAGGCGGTTCAGAGGATGATGTGACATTTTGGTTTCCGGCGCACGTTTTGAATCATGACTCTTCGATTCCTGTGCAACTTATCCCTATAAGTATGAGAGAGGTTCGATTTTATTCCACTTTCAATCCTTCGGAAAGCATTTTCTGATATACCCCTTTGTCTTTTCTTTACTGTAACCGTTATTTTGTGAGGGACTCTCCCACTTCTATTGAAACCATACTTCCTATCATCGGTGCTTCGTTTCTTAAGTAGTATAATCATGACAAAACGCGGACAGAGTAGTAAAAAGGCCAAAGATAATGCCCTGTCTAGGGTTCCGCCATCTTCCGGTGGTGAAGGGGAAAAGGCGGAGAAGGCCCTTGTTCCTCTCAGCGTAGACAACGTCCTTCCGAAGGAGACGCATGTTCGCAGGGATTTTCCAACTAAAAGCCCTGACCTTCCCTGGGAGCACAGCGTTTTATTACAATCTCATTTAGATGATCTTCGAGAGACGCACCATATTCCGGACCACGTGGAAATGGTTCCGGCCGGGACGGACTATGCCAATGTGCACCGGCCTGGATATTGCACATTCTATGAGTACCCGTTCTTGATCGGTTACAATCTTCCAATCTACCCTCTGATGGAGGAGCTTTGCCATTTTTATAATGTGTGTCCGGCCCAGCTCACTCCTTATACCTTGAAGGTGTGTCGTATTATGACCACTTATGCGGCCAGGGCTGAATGCAGCGTCTCGGTCCACCACCTCTTACAGTTATTCAGCGCTGGTTACCTGAGGGGTACCATGCTGCAGTTAAAAGGTCGGGGCACAAGGGGCTTAGTTGTTAAAGCCGATGATAAGCCCAACCGCCGCTTTTGGCGTAAGTATTTCTACATCAGGACGGAGCACCTGGTGTCGAATCCCGAAGGGTTCCCGGAAAGATGGAATCCAGAACGTAAGTATTTTTATTCGTAGAATTCAGGGCTGCTTGCGCTTTTGACCATACGGCCATTGTGATTTCTTTGCTTTTCTCCCTTTTTTATTCGCAGCGAGGGCTTCTCCACCCCAGCTCATTGATGACATTAAATCGTGGGTGGAAAGAATAATACCTTATGCGGAGGAATGCCGTACCTGGGCTGCATTTCTTCAACAGTACGGCCCGTCAGGTAATTCTTTGGCTACGATTTGGAAATTCCCTACGTTCTCGTTTCCTGACTTATTCGTGTTGGCAGGTCGGAGCGCTCCTAAGAAGAAGAAAAAGAACGTCGTCACCTTACCTGGGGCGGGGACTGATTCTGAAGACGGGTATATACCCTGTGGTTCGCCCAGTGAGGGCGCTGCGGGGGCTCCTCAACCGCTACCCGTGGCGGCGTCCATGAGGGGAGCGACTCCTTCAATGCCATCCCCACGGACTGTGGAGGAGACTTCTGAGAGCGAGGAGCAGCCAGAAAGGAAAAGACGTCGGTTGATAACCGGCAAGGGGATAGCCTCAGAAGACGAGGGGGCGAGCGAGCCCCATCGGGAGTCAAGTCCAGTTTTTATGGTGGATGCCATCCGTTCCGGGAGGTCGGCTCCCCAAGGGGGGGCGGTTCTCGACGCCAGCCCACCTCGCATTCCGGAGAGCGGCTCGTCGGCTGCCGTTGGAGAAGCAGGTGATGATGCCGAGAGGGTGGGCCCT